AGCAATCTCTTATACTATCGATAAGCTTACATGAGATTGTTACAAATCTTTCTTATGACTAGAATTCCAGCGCTACCGCCTTCCTCAGAGCTGGAATGATTCGAATCGAGTAAAAGTTGTTTCTTGCGATGTGGATTTTGGTTATTATTACATCGAGTCGAATCGAGTATCGTGGAGCACTGCCTTTTTAAACAAGACGTTTCCACTGTGAAGTGACCGGAGCTCTCCCTTCAGTCTTTCAGTATATAGGACGGTACATGGTCGATTTCCAAGTAAAATAATTTGTTATTCTTTATATTCTTGTTGAGCAAACGCGAGGTGTTATTTCTGTTATATCCGTTAATATAATACTTTGCTACCGGCACTGATGAATGATGAAAGAACAATGTTCACATCGCTCCGCAGCAATTTGTAATTCAGAGCGGTTTACTTCAAGTTAGACGATAGTTGGTACAAATTTGTTTTCCGATCTGAAAAAACCATAGGACTTAAATAAAACCTCGCGTTTGCTCAACAGGAGTATAAAGAATTACTTGATCAATGACGAGGTTAATAGAAAATCGGTCGTGGGATTTAAAATAATTTGTTTTATGGTGATAATTCATCCTATCCTCTCAACGGTTTACCACTTTATCGTGCCTGGGAGGTGTTCCTGTGTGTGGGGCTGCGCTGTACGGCGGAGGGATTCATCACCCAGCAGGGTCTTCCAAGCTGAGAAGGAGTCCGGTAATTCCATCAGAAAGCGTAGCTAAGAGTAAACCAGTACCAGCTTGCACAACGTCTTGGTATCAAACTAATCGCCTAGTGGCAAATCTCCCTCTGATCCAAAAGGCGGCGACTGCCTGTAGTGGTGACGACCTGGAGCAGACTGGCCTGGCCGATCTCGGGACGCCAGGTAATCACAATGGCTAAACTAGCAGAACTCCGAAAAAGTGGATGGGGCCGATGCTGGGGCCCGCACAACCAGTGAAGACGGACCATCCAAGTATTCAAGTAAGTAGTCCATCCTACAGCAGTTGGGTTAGTGTCCGCTGGTAAATAGTGGAGCACTAATGTCAATATCAACTGGAACTGAATCTGGCCATGGATAATCGATGTTGTGGTTTATTGATAAGCTTGCACGAGTTGGTTACAGATGTTTGATCAGTTAGTGCTGTTTAGGAATTTGTACTGTTTGTACTACTCCCGGAAGCGATCTATTCCTATGACATCAGTAGATATCCCTTCATGTTCGTACCTCTGTATGAAAAGGTAATCGAATTTGTAGCAATCATTCCTTAATGTTTTAACTGTTATTTATTGCATTCTTTTTTCGTGGCAGGATATTATGTGAAATATAACCACAAGTATGCTCAGATATGAGCAACACTAAGAGCCCTAGATGCGCTTCGAACTCGCGATCACCCTTTCCTGGGGCTCATGTGTTATCTACTGCAGCAACCGAGGCCCTTGTTTTGCCTTTCAGCCGGTTTTTTTTTTACTCTAACGGTGCTATCAGCAGTCGCTCATCAACAGAATGATCAGGAGAGCACAAAATTGCATTAAACACAGTTAAGCTGAAGACGCAATGGGAATTAGAAGCACCTTTAGAGTAAAAAAACTGGCTAAGAGAAAGGCAAAGCAAGAGTTCGGTTCGAGGAGTGGATAACACGTGAGCCCTCGGGAAGAGTAATCGCAGATTCGAAGTGTACCTGAGGTTCCGAGTTTTTTTCAGCTCAGGATCATCTGGTTTTTTTTTTACTTACAAGGCCGAAGTTGTGCAATGAACTTTCAAGAAAAGCCTCTTCTCTTCAATATGTGCCTATGTTTATTGCGACCTCCCAACGGTTTATCGCCTCATTGTGGCTGGGAGGTGTTCCTGGGTGCCGGACTGCGATGTAGATCGGGGGGATTCGTCTCCCAAACTGAGAAGGAGTCCGGCCTTTCCATCAGGATGCCTAGCTAAGAGTAAACCAGTACCAGGGTCTACCACCGCCTTGGTATCTAAGTCGCATGGTGGTAAATCTCCCTCTGATCCTCATGGGCCGCGACTGCCTGTCGTGGTGGCGACCTGGGGCAGACTTTGGCCAGGCTGTCCTCGGGATTCCAGGGAACGACAATGGCTTAACCAGCAACTCACCGAAAAATGGTGATTATGCTGGGGCCAGCGCAACTAGTGGCGATGGACCATTCAAGTATCAAGTCTCAAGTAAGTTTATTGCGACTAATTCTGAAAGGTTATGTTCCTTCCAGGCCCTTGCAGTAGCTGAGGTGACGCATGAAGAGTTTCTTAGATTTGGGCAACGTCTTGAAAGGAAATCACAGCCGCAAACTGTGCTATATACAAATACAGCTCGATGTGGGAGTACGCTGTTTGGTAAAATGCTCAATAGGTACGTTTCATGGAGTTCGTCTACAGTTTTATGGGTTTTATATATGTAGACATTTATGGGCGGTTGTTGTGCGGGGTAACCTAAAACTATGCTTTGCAATAGTTCCCAGGATCGACTTTCTCTTAACCTCGGCATTGGAATATAAATGTGTCGTTTTCTTGTTCAGCAATCGCGAGGTTTTTAAACAGCATACATTTATTTCCATAAAAACACAATACAATAGAACGCTAACTGACGTTTCGGCAGTATCGCCTTCTTCAGCGCCTGGAAAGGTATACTGATATACAATCTACTAGGCCAAACGCTTCAATAACGCTTACACAAAGACGAAATGCTCTTTGGTAATTACACGATTAACAACTTCTCGAAAAACCCACCGCTTTTTCGTGACTTCCAATGAGGAAGTTTAGAACAGCTGATTATAGTCGGATGTGGTTGACGACTGCACCATCGCACATCAAAAATCGATGCGAACGTACGGGATGTTTTGTTTTGTTTTGTTTTGCTATTCTCAAAGCAATAATTGCTTATTTTATTTATTTACAGACCGGGAATATCTATTTGTTATGGCGAGACTCCATGTCTGACAGTGCTTTCTATAGCTTTGGGGGAGAATTTGATGAGCGAAACGGTAGGTTGATTAACTTGCTTCTGTGTTGGTTTCCCGTGTCTCACATTGGTTTTACGACCCTAATAATCATGATCTTGTGTCAATGAAGGAGTTAAAGGGATAAAAAAGGATAAAGATCTCGGCGTTGACCAATCCCTTAGAAGTGATCCATGCAATCGACTTCAGCAAGCATCGTTGGAGGTGATTAAATAAATATTTGGCCTTTACAAGTGACTCGCAGTGGTCTGTCGATGTATCGAGCTAGTGCTACTATCCTCCAGACAAGTCTGGTATCAATTTGCCAACCCCAGAGTGATGGAAGGATTGGCGGGCCACGGGAGCGGAGATCGATCCCACATGTGTACTGAAGAGCGTCTCCCAACATAGCGCCACTAATTGAAGGGATAGCAATAAATACTTCATACAGCTGAAAATAGAATATCGGATTTTTAGAAAGTGCGAAATCTGCTTCATGCATGCATAACTTGCATGAGAGCAAATCTCCCGGCTGGTGAATTGTGTGTATTAAAAACGCAGTCATTTGAAGCGAGGCTAGTACCTCTCTGCAGGGATGTTCCAAATCTCAAGCACATTTTTATGTTTCGCGAGAAAGCACTTTTTTCTGTGGAAAGGGTCGTCCGACGGTGAGTTTTGGTTCCAACTTTACTGCTAAAGCCTTTCATTTGAACCAACAATTTCATTATGTTGGCTTAGGAGGTAAACTGTGTGAGAACAGTCGTAATGATGCCAAGATATGAGCAAAACTCGGAACTTCAGGCGTACTTCGAACTCGCGATAACCCTTAGCGGTGGCTAAACTACTATCCACCATACATCCTCGTGGTTCTAATTCACATCATACCCTGACGTGAAAAAAAGAACAGACAATAAATGAAATGTTAGGAAAATTATACGAAGACGATTGTTCTACTTTATTAAAAATGGTTTTAAATCACCTAATTTTCGCTCTAAATTATGATGTTGATGCCATTGACATTGCATTTCTCAGTAGTACAACCAAAAGTTAATAGCGTGTTTAAGCTAACCACTGGATGCTTTAGATTTTTGGAAAGATTTTCTCTACTTCATAGAAGTTCGTTCTATTCTTGTAGACAGTACCTATTGTACTTGGATGTTTGGACGGGCCTTTATCATTGGTTGTGTGGGCCCCGGCATAATCTCCATTTTTCGGAGTTTTTCTGGTTTAGCCATTGTTTCCCTCAAGTCCCGAGGTCAGCTTGGCCAAAGTCTGCCTCAGGTCGTCACCAGCCCAGACAGTAACCGCCAACCGTTAGGAAGATACATATGGCAATTCATTAAAATATGAAACGGGGCTGGATATAGTCTTTGGTAGCTTTTCGACCTCTTCGTGAGTCTTATTCGTTGAAGAGCATATCACATTCGTTCCGATATACCCGTGGTTACTTGGTTGCAAGCTTTTGGCCAAGCCATTTAGCATGATACAATCCGCATTTATGCAAACATACCCATTGATGGAGGCAAGTGTTGCTGCATGTATATAAAAAGGATAAGGGATAAGTGATCGCCAGCATTGATCAATCCCTAGGGGATGCACCATTCATTCGATTTCATTAAGCATCGTTTGAGGTGATTGAATGCATATCTGGCTTTTACAATAACCCGCGGTAACCTACCGATGTATCGAGCCAAAGCTGCTATCCTCCAGACAGGTCTGGTACCAATTTGCCGACCCCGGAGGGATGGAAGGCTTGGTGGGCCACGGGCGCGGTAATCGATTCCACGTGTGTGTTGCAAGGCGCCTTTGACCACTGCACCACACGCGCCCTTGCATGCGTGTATAATATCAGTCCAATACACCAACAATCCATACCTTAAACCATGATATGGTTAAGTGAACGTACTTTGTCCCACGACCTGGATACGTACCACGTTGTGTCGTAACTAACCAGGATCAGTTCGGATCCGTCACATGTGTTGAATACACGGATTTTTAAAAGACGGAATAAAAAGTGTACATGTTTAGGTTTGGATTTCGTCATGTGGTAAGTCATGCTGTTATCGCTTTCCCAGCGTTTTTTTTTGCTTAAAGATGGAATTCTATTAAGAACTCGAGAATATGAGCACGTTTCTGAAAATCTCGTGTTTTTAGAGCAGAATTTCATTCCTTGCTTATGTTGAAATTGTACAACATCTGTCCTTTTTTATCACGTTGCATTGGTACTCTTATTGCTGGTGAAGGAAAATGGTTGAGAACTCTTCAACCACAAAATATGAGGGTAAGTATTTTCAGCAGTTCTTGGGAAAACTATGGAATAAAATTGTCAGTAAAGTCGTATTTCCTATTTCATATATTTTCATTTGCAATGAAGTGAATACACTGCTGCTTATCTACGTCTGGTATGACATTCAACTGATTCATGACTTTTCTGCGCACAACAACATTTAGTAAATTTCTACAGTTACTTTAATGGAGACTGTATCATTCGATCTTTCCACTCATCGTTCGGAACATGGTAATGAATGTATAGTGAATGGAAAGTTATATTTATTTTGTAATATCAAATCGTTGAATACTAGCACGCTAGGTAGCATCGAGCAGAAAATTGTAATAATGAAGGTTTTGAAGAAGGAATCTTTACTATTACTTTTACTTTGTTTCTGTATTTTTTACTGGGTCTTTGATCCAATGAGGAAACGCGATGCTCGCTTATGAGACATGACTCCGAACGTTCTCTCATGTATTTCCTAGTACTTGATCGCACGCTGTAGGCCGAATCAACATTTAGAAACGATCGACTTGTCTAACGGCATATCATTTGTAACTACATGTGTACAGAAGCCAAGCCAACGCGATGCAGAGTACTAGTATGTACATGCGTCTCAAGAGGAATCCAAACGTAACCTTCCAATCTATCAGATACTACGCCACATAACCTAATCGCTAAAATAGCTTGTCATCATACATAAGTTAGAGATCTGTGAAGTTCTGATAAAAGGTTAAAGAATAAAGGTTTCGGCTTTGATCATTACCTGAAGGAAGCGCCATGCGTTCCACGTCATTCATAATTCACTTCATCCAAACCTCGTATGTGCGTATTAAGCTTATACAATAACTTACGGTAGCTTATTGTTGTGTTAAGTCGGTGTTTTTATAGCTCCGGACAAAAGTGGTATCATTCTCCTGACTGTGGTATTATGGGAGGCACCGTAAGCCTTAAGTGCGCGATTGAACTAGTACTGGTCGGTCCGGTTTATTACAGGTCACTTCTATCCACTGCCCCTTGCGTGCACCGGAGTTCTGATAGCGCAGCGTTATGGTGGCTAATATACCATTATTGACTGATTAGAACGGTCGAGGATACGCCATCTTTTCTTGGTCTTTTTTCTTCAAGAAAAACAATTTTTTTTATGCAACTGACATATTGTGTATGGAAATCCAACATTAAATTGATTAAACCGGTTTAAATTCTCGTTTGTTTTCTATATTCCAAATTTTTCGATCCTGTGTTCTTCTCTGCTGTTCTTTCATGTGTATATACATATATATATATATAAAATATACGTATATCTACATTTTTACTTATATACATGAACATGCATATATGTATATATATATATGCTCCATGATTCCGCTCTGGGCCAACGAAGTCTTTCATCACTCCGGGATCCGAAAATTCGATAGACAAAGATGGGACAGACTTCGGAGATGTGAGATTCACATTTCGAATGTGCATTATGTGTGCCGCTTAAATTTCAGAAGACACCGTTCAAGCGATATATAGGTGGCGCGCAGTATTCTTGACGTAGTTGAGGTATCACCACATATCTCTGATGCATAATACAGCGCTGGGAAGACTTTTGAATCGCAAAGGTGAGCGTAGTGTTTTGGGTCCCATAGCTGGTTTATGGATTCTTTGAGAGGCTTGAATGCGGCTCATGCTGCTTTTGATCTGTCTGATTCCTTCACTATGTTCTTCTCCATGTTCACGCTGAACGTACACGCGCGATGTGGTCTCTATAGTCAGAGAACCATGCAGTTTGATTTGTTCGCTTTCACATTATACATTCTTCATGAACAAGGTCTTTTTCGTATTTATGCGCAGGTCAATCTTTCTTCCGGCTTCGCTGAGTTCATTGAGCATCGTTCTTGCACACATCACAGAGGCAATAGTATACACCGCTGAGAAATCCCTGGAATTGAAAACTGATATTGGTGGTTTTCTGATCGCAGTTACGACATCCTACTAATATTAAGGACACTCTGTCAGCTTGAAAAACGACACCGAAGAGGGTTTTTGCATAAGTATTAAGTATACAAGTATGCATTTGGGGTTCCCAGCAAAGATTTCACTAACTTCTTATGGCGCCCAGGATTTGATCTCCACTCACCAATGTTTGCACCGCCTGACATCTTAAACAGGATCACCAAGAGCCACAATCATCTTTAACGCTGTGTGTGTTAACCTCTTCACGATTGCGTGTTACTGGAGCGCAAACAAGGTAACCTGTATCACCTGTAGTTCCGTTGATCGTCCAGTAACTCGAGTGGGCACCAGTAAATCTTCCATTTTTTTCTGTCACGTGCAAGAATAGGCCCGTGGGTACTGCTCGCTCTAGGGACTCGTCGAGCATCATATCTTTCTTCTAGGCTCTTCGTGAAGAACTCTGACCATCGAGTCGGTGGTCTTCCCGCAGTGCGTTTAACATCCCGAGGAGTCCAGTCACTAACGGCTTTTATCCATCGGTTGTCATTCATACGCATTACTTGTCCCGCTAACCTTATCTTCGACTGTTAGGCGTACAGAACGGCATCTTTGATTTTTGATCGTTGACGCACGTCGGAGTTTCGGATCCCGTTCCTTACTTGTGTGAAACGGGATACTCCTACCATCGTCGTTTCGACTGCGCATTCGTAAACGCTGAGTGATCTTTCATCCTGTTTACGCAGCGACCAGGTTTCTGACGCATACGTTAAGGCGGAAGTACTGTTGAGTCGGAAAGGTGAGAGCGGAGTCGGGTGTTCTTTGTTCTCTTCATTACATCATCTATGCTCTTGAAAGCTGCCTAAGCCACTCGTTTCCTTCTACTCAGCTCTGGAGCTAGGTCGTTCATCATATTGATTTCCCAACCTAGATAGATATAACTGGAGCATTCGAAGATATTCGTTTCGTTGAGCGTGAATGGGGCATTCGAAACCAAACCGTTCCTCATGAACATCGTTTTTGTGAGATTTAGTCGAAGACCAATCTTTCCACAGGCTTTACTAAAGTTGGCAAGCATATGTTCCGCATGTCTCTTTGGTGTTATAAGGACGATTTCATCAACAAAGTAAGGGTAATGTAACTGCCGACCATCGATTCTCACTCCCATATTATCCCATTCCAATGTTCGCATGGCGTTCTAGAGAGTGGCGGTAAATAATTTTGACCAGTTGGTATCGCCTTGGCTAATTCCTCTTTTGACGTCAATGTTAATATCGTTGTAGAATGGTGATATCTTGGTTGTGAAATTTTTGCAAAGTTCACGAAGAATTTCTATGTACTGAGTAGGGACTCCATGGCTATCAAGAACTTCCAAGATTGCTTCTATTAGATGAAAGTGAGACAGAGCGGTCTTTCGTACTATCGCAATACTTCAATGAGCGTTGTTACCGTGTGGATGTGGTCCATCGTTGTAAATCCTTTTCGAAACCCATCCGGACCTGCTGCTGCTGTTCGATTTTTCACCGACGAAATGGCATGTCGAATTTCGGAAGGGAGAACCAGTGGTACAACATATCCATCCTCCTTTATTTCATATGTGGGAAGGCCTATCGAAGAGATGCGAGTAGTATTCGTCAATGGTTTTCTCCATTGCCTATCTGGACGCTGTAACTGTTTCGTCTGGGCGTTGGAGTGCAAGTATCTTGGTCTTGTAAATGGCAAAGCTTCGGTGGGCTTTGCGGATGCTTTTACCAGCGTCTGCAGCTTCGACCATTACTGCTGCTCTTCTCTCTTTAAGATCTTCTTTTATCGCCTGTCACCATTGCTTTGCAAGTGCAAGTTTAACTTCTTCTTCGTCATAGTTTGATGTCGGCGCGTAAACGACGAAGATTGTCAAACACGGTATTGATCCACATCTTTTTAATCGCAAAGGTCCGATCCGGGTTGTAAGTTGTTCGAATGAATCGATGTTCATGGACAAACTCCCGTTGACGAGAACGCCGACGCCACCGACTCCTCTACTGTCGCGTATTCCGAGGAACAGTTTTTCTCCGGTGTCACAAACGGCGTTGAAAGGCTGGCGTCTTCTCGTTTCGGCCAGGCCGATGAAGTCGTACCTTATACTTCTTGCTCACATGAGCAAGTCCTCGATCGAGGAATCCGATGCAAGTGTACGTGCGTTGTAGGTACAGATCGTCACTATTATTCTTTGTAATCCAAGCAGCTTCCATTGGCCTTGAGATTTTCGAAATTGGGACTCTTTCGGAGTCAGGAGAATGAGTCCCATTTTTTTTTACTGTGTTTAGCATTTTTGATAATCACGTGTAGCTTGCTGGGCTGTAAACGTGGGGCTGGATATACTCATGGGTAGCTTGCCAGGCTCTCCCAAAGTGGACATGGATCTTATTTGTCGGAGGCGTCTCCTAACCGCAGCCCATATACTTCCCGTCAGTTGATTGCATGGTTTTGGCCGAACTGACTCGTAGGATACATTCCGCATAAACGAGAACGCAGCCACACACGCATGCATGAATACGCCTAACGAATACAGAAAGTATGTGCCAAATCGGCGCAGCAGAAACAGGGAGTCCGTACCAGGATCCACTTGCGTCTCATGGAAGCAAAGGTCGCGTTTGGTCAACGATTAACCCGCTATCCACCACCTGGGGACGCGCATCGCTACTAACCGGCTCGAGTTCCCTCATGTGAAAGAGATCCGTGGCGAAAATGGAATGCGCATCGAAGTGAATGTATGTGGTCCACAAGTCCGCGCAGTAGAACGTGTTACTGGAGTGTACCGGAGATGCCCATTACGGTCGTGAAAGAGTTAGCCTTTGCCTAAGAGATTGTAGCTGATAAGAGATTGCATTTACCAACCGTTATGGCGTCCTTTTTTAACCTTATTCTATGGAAGTGGTCAAAATTTAACTGCGGTTTGAGCATTTATCGTTGTTTGTTCCTATTACGATTGTGTGATGGTCGAACAACTTTCATCTAAGCATACCAATAACGATCGCAAACATTGTAAATCAAGGAGGTTAGAGAAGAGTTTTGTGATCTACAACTAGGATAAAAAAGTTTTCGGCGTTGATCAATCCCTGAGAGATGCGACATGCATTTGACTTCATTAAGCACCGTTGTACATGATTGAATGCATATTTGGCCTTTGCAATGACTCGCGGTGGCCTACCGATGTATCGAGCCAGTGCTGCTATCCTCCTGTGCAGGTCTGGCACCAATCTCCGGGCACAGGATGGATGGAAAGCTTGGTGAACCTGGGTAGCGGGATAGATCCCGTATGTATTGCAGGGCACCACTAACCACTGCCCTTCACGCGTCCACACTACCGACTAAGATACTTTAAGGGATTCTATAAACGATTCCTTCGACCAGTTCACCAAGCAGCTAGGGATGGTGTGTCACACTAAACACCACATTAAATTGGATTTAGCGTCTTCGAACTGTGTTCTAGTTAATTCTCTTAAGCGTGGAATGTGTGTTCAATCTATAAAATGGCTTTTATTGCTTAACTCTGCCTTCTCTTCCATTCCATATATAATTTCTTCAAAGTATAGTCTTTATTTTAAATTTTCTAATTGGAGCTTTAAAATGCCAAAAACACCAATGCGGTCAAAAAATCCCAAAGTCAGCACAAGCACAGCATCTGCAACCATCAGCTATGGACTTGAGGAAAATGCCTTGTCTTTGTGAACGCTTTTTTAATAGGTTCACCGCTCGAGATAACAACCTTCGAAATCTTAAACTCTCCTGAACTACCTTTGAAGTCATACATGGCTCATATTGTTGCACACAGACCGAGTATTAAGCGGAATAGTGGTAAAGAAGTGGGAACCGAAACGGCACGATGAGCGTTATATATATATATATATTACTAAGTTGCGATTTCCCTACGTCTAGTGTTTCCTGCTCAATAAATGAATATATCACCTTAAGGCACTAGCAGCTATCATCTTGGCATCGCCTATGTCGCACTATGAGAGGAACAAGAATATGTACTGTCATCCCATCATTTGGTTCCATGAAGTCATCAATGACACTGAGAACGTGCTCATTTCAGTTTTCAATGAGGTGATTTTCATTGCTTACGTAATCCGCGTTTATACTTGATCCATAACCGAAATGCAGCTAAATATCAACCTATTAAAGCAGTTTATGTGTACACTGTTTCTTACTACCCAATTTTTTTCTTTCTGTACACCAGAAATCATTGTTCTTAAGTACGTCGACTGCTGAAATAGTAGATTCAGTGGATATAATTTCAGCTTGGTATCCCTCTTTCGTGTATCGCAGAAGCTATGGAATGCAAAAACAGCGATTCTCAAGAAAACTCGTTCCTTTCCCAGCAGAATCTAAATCACATTAAGGTATTTCTTACTTGTGAAACACAGTAACTGTGGTGGGAAACATAAGTAAAGTTCTCCATTCCTTTTCTGGAACATCAGTGGGTGCTATGGAGAGGTTGCACAAAGTGGCATACGGATGTTTTTTCAGCGTGTCCAAATTAGATAACAACGTTGTTATACGTATGGATGTTTACTTAAATATAAAAAAGTTATTTACGTCTATATCTAGATAAACCAGCTTCACAAGATCCCAGCGCTTCTGCGATTCCTTTCGTTGTCTTATGATCATCATTCGCAAAGCACATATAGTGACGTTATGCGATATGTTTTGCTACCAAGGTCTTTTGGTTATTATCGTAGCAGCACGTCTCAGACTTGTGTAGTTGGGTTGTTCACATAACATTGTTAATTCAACAGTGACGTCGTGGCGAAATTAAAAGATGTAAAAATGTGAACAGCAAAATAATCAGTACAAAATGATGGCTTACAGAGCAACAGGAAACTATCAATGGCAAAGTATATTCTGCAATTGTATTTAAGCGATAATAGGAGAGACACTGTTGTTATAAATCATTAATCAATAGAGATATCGTCGGGCGAAAGTGAGAGGATATATAGGCCGGTTGGTATAGGTCGACGTTGCTGATAACAGATTTGTTGGTCCAGTTAAAATCTCAATGCTTACGGTTTTCTTTGCAATCCAAGGGAAACCGTATTAGGACATCCTAAGGTGCTTCTAGTCGTCAGCTGTGCGAATCGGACGGAGATTTGCTACGTTACGATTCACGATTTTTTGTCAGGACTTCAGGGAACCCTGCAATCATTTTATCGACCTCCTTCGAGAACAGTGTACTAGGTCGAAAGGTGGTGATGTGATAAAGATAAAGTAGAAAATTGGAACTGGGAATTCATGTTGGAATTTTTTTGGCATGAAATAAATTCTATCTACCTGACACTTTACTGTTTGCTTGCTAAGGTAGAACACTATGTTGTGGTGCATCTTCTTGTAGAGTCATGTCTTCTTTGAATTTGACAAAAATTTCTGGTAGTTCTTTAAAGTGCTTTAGTTTCAGCTGGCGCCTATGTCGAACGATGATCGAGAAATGCTCAAAGAATATGCCGAGAAGATGGAAGTTCCATATGATATATTTGAAACTGATTGAAACGTTACCCTTTGAACAGGCTGCTTTTTTTCTGGATTTAAAGGTAGTTTTATGGGGCTATCACTCTTTGATATGTTGATGACTACGCCTAATTTTCGTCAGCTGCGACATACTTTTTCCTGTAACCAATGTTAAGTGACGAAATCACAAGAGGCCTTGCTGTATCACGTTTGTCGCATAAAACAGTTTTCCTAGAATGTTGTTTGAATTGCAGACTTGTTTAAAATTCAATTTAGAATGCTGAAAACTATATTTGGGTTTCTAAACTTTTTAACTGGAGAGCAACAGACTGGATGTTCTATGGAGGAATACCTTTTATTAAACTGTTTCATTGTTTTATTTGGGAACCTCAACGAAAGAAGTGCTGAGCTCCAAAAATTGGAGTCTTATTGTAGAGTCAACAGAATTTTCTTGGCCCATTGATCAATTTTCTAGGCTAGAATGGTACCATTTGTCAGTTCCCAAGATCGACTTTCTATTAACCTCGGCATTGGGTTATAAATCTGTCGTTCTCTTTTTTACGGCAATGGCGAGGTTGTTAAACAGCATACGTTTCCTTCCATGCAATAACATTCATACAACACAACGGTAGCTGACGTTTCGGCAGAATCGCCTTCTTCAGAGCCTGGAAGGGTACACTAATACGCAACTTACTAGGTCAAACACTTCAACAGCACAAGCGGAAAGATGAAAATCCGAACGGTAATTACAAGATCAACGGCTTCTCGAAAAACCCACCGTCTTTTACCTGCCTTCCACCGAGGAAGAACAGCCGCTTAAAGGCGTACATGGTTGATTACTGTACCACCCCAAATCAAAAATCAATTCAGAGATACGGGGTTAGATCACGTGTTATCTCAGGGCATTCTTCCCTGCTATTCATTCTCAGATTTTTGACATTTATCCGGAAAGCCTCGAGAAAATTACTAGAAGGGAAAGAATTTACATAGCGTACTCTTCCAGGCTCTGAAGAACGCGATACTACTGAAACGTCACCTACCGCTGTGTTGTATGTGTTATATTTGTAAGGAAGTAAACGTGTGCTGAATAACAACCTCGCAATTGCTGTAAAAAAGAGAACGACAGGTACGATTTATGTCTTAATGCCATTATCGTATCTTGATTAAACGGTAAAATGAATAAGGTTCTCGATGTAGGCCAATCCTTGAGGGATGCGTCATGCATTCCTCTTCATCAAGCATCGTTAGGAGTGACTGATTGCATATCTGGCCTATACAATGAATTGCGGTGGCCTACTGATATGTTCATTCCGGAGAGACGGATGGCTTGGTCACCGCCGAGGTGCAGAACGACTAAGTTGTGTATTGCGGAGCCCTTCTTAGCACAGCGCTACATGCGTATATTATGTCTATCATATCATGTAACTGAAGTTTCTTTGGAGATTATGTTTGTGCGGCTTGATGGTGTTATTAAACTAATCATAAAAGCGTAATAGGATACTAAAGTTGGTCCCATGTAGGTTAATCACATTCTCTATAATGGAAATAAATATGGGCAACTAAAATTTTCAAGAAACGATGAGTCAGCAACGTAACGTAGGCGGCAAATGTGTAGAGGTTACTAACTATGGAATGACGAACAACATCACTAATTTGTGGACGATAAGTGCATACATTACCAACATTAGTATACGGGAATTAGTAGAATCCCATATACCCACTGAGGCGAGGAGAAAATAAGAAAAGGGGAAGAACGACGAGTTCTCATTTTGCACAGTTTTTCGTTCCCCACTCTTTGGGTACACGCATCTCAGGGTCGGCTATGTAGACCACACTCACAAATGGTTTGCCTCCTTCTCATGCCTGTAAAGTGTCTCTGGATCTTGAACTGTAATGTCACAGTGGGACCAACCCCTCTATACGATTTTCCAAGCTGAGTAGGCCAGGTTTATATTCGAAAACCCACTAAGGGTAAATCACTGATGGGAATCAGCTAAAAAGAAAATTTTGCCAACACCAGCTAATAGCCAGCTGACAAGCGCTAAAGGTCAACTAAAAGTCTAATTCGGTTTTCGAGGTTCCATGGACAGAACATTTTGTCCAACCACTAAATTACGTGCGAAACGAAAATTGTGCTGGGATCATCACGATTCTTGGTGATTCGCGAACATGGTTCGGCTTCAGTATTGAAGTAAGTACATGCAGGATGTTGACGCCGTACTGAATGAGGCCGCTCGTTCATACCTGTCTTAATGTTCTTAGTTCCTCATGGGAACTAAACATGTGGGACTTGTTGCGACGTTCCGCCTTAAGGAAGATGTATTTCTTAAGTACGAAACAAGAAACAGTTCCAACGGTGTGTCGTCGATGTGCAGTTTGGTCCGATAACAATTGTGTCCGTTTAAGCTTGGATACGATTATCTTTCACAGATACTCTCATTTCAAAGCGTTGACGTTAGCGGATATTAAGTGGAACATTGAAGCTGCTCTTCTTTTTCACAACTCGACTAGGTTACCGTAACTAGATCATTTCAAAACCGATCATCCCTCGGTATGACTAATCAGCATTTATTCTTTCTTTGATAAGGTTACACGAGTTTGATAAAGAATCGGCTTACGTTTCGACGTCTTCGTCTTCATCAGAGCCGATGGTTCGACTCGATACGAAGATGAAGACGCCACATCTAGAAGGGGAACAAGTGTGGACCATCGACTCGGACCGTTTGCTCTAATGAAGACGAAGACGTCGAAACGTTAACCGAATAAAGACTGCTGATCATCTTTGTGCAAGCTTATCAAAGGAAGAATACATGTAACTAGACTCCCGAGATAATCTCGTATTCGCGGTTTGTTACCACAAGCAGTGGCCTGCTTTTGTAGATCAGAAGCAGGTTTGACGTCTTAAGAAAAGGTTTATTTTTGCAAACGGGCGAAGGCGACAAAGTCATTGTATAAGGTTGTTCTTAGATAGAGTTTTAGATGGTAATTTCCATTCCCTCAGTTTGGATCGTCGTCAAGAAAAAAGCTATCTTGGCACGAAAAATACCACTGAGTGGAAACTAGGTCATTTAGGAACGTAATGATAAACATTATGGCTCCTGAAATAAAGGCCCTGTACCTGGATGGGAAAGAAAAGTTGTTCACAGTGACAATTTCTCAACGAAGAGTTCAAAAAATAAAAGTAGTGAACTAAACATGACGAGAAATCTCGAGAAGAGGAATGCCTAGCACCTGCGTGTAGCGCAGCAGTTAAGGATGTCTTGAAATACACACTTGGTCGTGCGTTCGATTACGTGCTATGACTAAACCAAACCCTCTATTCCGTCCGACTCGTCAAATTATTGGCAGACTTATACGGGAGGCCAGTAGCGATTGCCTGACACAATAGTAGGTTAACGTAAGTCATGTATAAGGCAAATATATATTCAGTCGTCTTCACGATATTTTGAGAGCTTCGATGTTGTCAATAAAGCTATCAAACAATACACAACAACTCCTCCCAAACATGCCAGGTACGAATTTGCTGAACCTGGAGAAATGGAGGCTTGGTGAACCAAGGGCACGGAGTTCGATCCCATGCGTATTGCACGGCGCGTCCGACCACTGCGCTACACGCGCCCCTAGTATTAACGGTAGGAATCTCGGGTGGAATGCATACGGACGCTTAATTGACGCTAACGATTGATTAACGTCGAATCCACCATCCGTTATATCTGTAGCCTCTGCTGCTGGTAACTACTTTCATGTTGTAATTGAAATCATTCAACTGAAACAGTTTGACGTTACCTCACGCCATTGTGCATTTTTGCGTAAGCGTCTCCTTTATGCGGACCGACGCAGTAGATTTTCGCTTCGATATCATTTCTTTCTTATATTTGGATTGTTTAGTTTTGTTATATATGTTGAACAACAAGTTGTGTTCGTTTGATTAATAGAAGTCTCCAAACGGTTTACTGCCTCATTATGGCAAGGAGGTGTTCATGAGTGTCGAGCTTCGGTTCACGATTGGGAGATCCATCCCCGGCAGGGTCTCCAGGCTGAGTCTGGCGTTTCCACTGGGAAACCCAGCTAAGAGTAGGCCAATACCAGGATCCACCGTCCTAGTATCAAACTAGTCGCATGGTTGCAAATCTTCCTCTGATCCACAAGAGCGGCGACTGCCTGTGGTGGTGACGACGTGGGGCAGACTTTGGCCAGGCTGACCTCGAGACTCTGCTTACCCACAATGGCTAAGCCGGCAAGGAGTCCAAAAAAATGGATATTATGCTGGGGCCTGCACAAGCACTGATGACGCGATATCCAAGTAATTAAGATTTAAGAGACGAAGTTCCAGTTACTGATGAGTTTCGTAATTGATCGTTTGTTTTCGGTACATGTTCGTGATTGTAAAACCTCTTTCTCCAACCTTCTATTTCATTAACGTTGTTTTTCGCAGAGGTGATACAAACTACCATGGCTGATGAAGAGCTTGCAAGTTATAGACTCCAGTTCCAGCAGGTATTAAGTTCTAATCGGATTTCGCCACTTCTAACTGTTTTCATTGCAAGATTGCTGAGATTTTGCGAAACTCCGGACGTCAGGTGTCTGCGGTGGAGAACGAACGCGCTATTTTCCTTTCCGGCTAGTAACGCGTTTACCATTGCACCATGCTGGTCATTCGTTTGCCTGTTTCTCAGCTAGTTCTTTCGATCTGTGCCGTCAGCAATCACCCGTCAACGGGATTGATCTGGGGAGCGCACAATGGCATTGAACTCAGTTAAGCTGAGGATGTAGTTGAATTCACAATGTTTACTTTTTTAAAAAAATTTTCTATCTATTGGTTTTTTCCACGTTTCCCACCGCACACACCTGCGTTCCGGAGTTTTGCAAATATCTCAGCAACCTTGTGGTTGTATTTCGCATAATACCCTGCCATAGAAATAATAGAAGGGAGAAAATAAAAAATTAAACATTGTTTTCATTGCGTTTTTTTCTCTGACGTTAAGTCATCTCAATGGAGAATTTTTTTTTTGCATCTCTCATAACTTGCATTGAGGATTTAGGTTGAAGCTGCATTACTTGGTGATCCTGACAATGAGGAATTACAAAAGTTAAAAGCTGATCTTGAAGAGGTCATAGCTTTGCAGGTTTGTTTTGTGTAACTTCTGTAGCAATTCAGTATAGGGTTTTTTCAATATGATGTTTGCCCATTGAAGTTATCATTAGTTTCAAACTCTTCAGGAAGAGTTAACTAGTGCTACTGCTTCTGGATCTGCAAATGATGTTGCCCCAGTCAATGTTCCAGTAAAGAAATATGAGGTAATATTAGATCGTTGTAATAAAGATTTAGATGGAAAAGTGGTTGAGAGAAAGGTGAAACCAAAGGCACGCATGGTGTGGTGAACGCCTTATCCCCCGAAAGGGTAATACCGGGTCCGATCTCCGCCGCGGACGCCTGCGGCCCGGTGTTTTTCAAATGTCTCAGCATCATTATGGTTGAAGGGGTGCGCGTAGCGCAGTGGTCGGAGGCGCTCTGCAATGCATGTGGGATCGATCCCCGCTCCCCAGGCTCATCAATCCCTCCATCCCTGCGAGGTCAGCAAATTGGTACCAGACTTATCTGGGAGGATACCAGACCTGGGCCGATGCATTGGTAGGCCATCATGAGTCATTATAAAGGCCAGATATTGATTCAATCATCTGCAGCGATGCTTATTGAAGTCGAACACATGGCGCATCCCTCAAACATTGATCAATACCGAGAGCCTTATACTTCTTTTTATTGTTGTTTTTGTGCTGCTGTTTTAATTTACGTCACTACACGTACTAGTAATTGTAATAGAATCATGCCAGTTTACTTCGATTTTGTAATTGACTGAGCATATAGTATAACAAATATAACTCACCTTCATCATGTGTATTCCTTTTAATTATCGAGTCATTTAGGCGGTCACCAGTCAAATGTTTAGTGGTCGTGAAGAGGATCACGCTTTTTAAACAAGGACCTCCACTTTTGCTGTTCTTGCGTTGCTTTTGGGGTTCCATCATGGCGTGAACTTGCGTTTAACTGCGCTTCCAAATTCTAGTTTTGGGCGGCTCTGCTAGGAGAACGAACCTCCTCTTTACATCGCAGTATTCGACTGCTTGAAGCAAATCATCAATAGTGACGCAACACAGCACTGGGAGGTTCTTTTACTCGGCAGTTATTAATGTTAAACTGTACTTGATGAACTTCAAATCACGGGAATTAAAAAGAACGATGTTCGCAGATGCATGAGCCCTGACTCTCGCTTTTTGAAATTTGGACTTGACGTGAAGATTCAGCAGCCCCAGCTCGCAAGTGCAACAATACTCATACTTTCTGCCCATTTCTTACTTGGTCAGGGCATCTTGAAAATTGTTTTTTTTATAACGCTTAATTAGTAAGTAGCTGAAGTGGTTGAAACTAGAAGAAAAATTGGGTACTCATGGGTTAGGCACGCCTTCCGTAGTTCTTTTGAATGGTGCAATTGCAAATGGTTTTGCAATCGTATAGAGTCCTTATTTATTTGTTTTTATTAGATTGTTTCATGTGTCCTCCTACTTTGAATTCCAGATTGGCGATCGAGTAATGGCACCGCTGCCTAATGGAAACCGTGCGGTGGCTGTTGTCGACTCACTTACAGCTGCTGGTGTCGCTGTCATTTTTATAAGTGGGCTTTCCTAAAAGTTTTTTTTAAACCTCTTATGTAAGTGCATTTTCTGTGTAATTTATTCCGCAGATCTGTGGCATCTGAGGGATCTTGTGTGGGTTAACCGTGAGACTATAGGCGGCCTCGACAGATGGAAAAGACCATACTAAATGTACATAAAAAGATTCCATATGCCAGTAGAAAGCTAATGTAAGAATTCTCCTCCATCTTTATGCACCATTGAATTCATTATTATATTTGGTATATGTATAGTCATACCCATTTATACGAGCTTTAGAGCTTCTGCTTGTAAAAGTTTTGCATTCAAGTGGCAGCTAAATGGACGGGTGGTGTTTCGGATCTAACCGAACAAATAAGCTCACATCCATTTTTTAGAGGATAAGAAACTACCAAACACTGTAGCGTGCACCAACAGTATAGGATGGAAATCCATTTCTAGGTATTTCTTAGTATAGGTACTCAGAAACAAGTTACGAGAATTTTCTAACACTCCTGGTATATGTAGATGAGCGAAGCCTCCTGTTAAGCTTGAACGCGTGACATGAACAACCTCAGACTACTTGTATCGGCTGAATTGGTTGGCTCAGTGATTACGAAATAGCGAATGGCATAGGAGATGTAAGGTGTTGAGTCGAAGTCGACCTTTTAAACGTTATCTATTTGATCTCGAATTGATAATGTGAAGAAAATTAGTCGTGGTGGAGAATTGGTAGCGAAATTTTCTCAGAAGACAATGGCAACTCAGTTTTTTTTAAGAAATATTTGGAGTGAACTTTGAACAAAATTTCTTTCGTGAACCGTATCTGTTCTCTTGCAAAGTATTCACGGTATTTCAGGCAGCGGTCAGAAAACAATAGTAGATCCATCGGATCTTAGTGACGCCCCCGATGCTGGAAAAAAGCATTACGTTTTTGACTCAGCACGAAGTGGGATTTCAAAAAGTGCAGCAAATAAAAAGGAATGGCTGGTGAGCAGTGCTTTTTGTTTGGGTTTAGGCTATGGTCTTCTTCGAGGTGAAGAATGAGCCTTTCATATCTTGCTTGATTTTTCGGCACATGTTTAGGCTGAACGGGAAAGACGACGTTTACGTGCTCAAAAGAAAGAGATGAAACGAAAAGAGCTAGATTTAGCGAAGGAATCTGAAAAGAACAGCTGGATTAAGTTTAATCATAAAGCTGTTAGTAAAGGGATCAAGGTATCCTATGTTTATCTTTCCGATCTTGTTTAGGTTGTTTTTCAGGAAAATGTTTAGTTTTTTCGTTTTGCAGTGATGGGTGCGTCTATTCCTTAATTATACTAGATTTTTACGTTAGAAAGTTCAAGGTTCTAGTTTTCAGGGAATGAAACGAGTAATTGCTACTGGGTCAGCACAGGATGGACCAGCGGGAGTTAAGTACTTGTCTTTGCAGTGTTTCATCATGTTTAATCACGAAATAGTTTTGTTAGCATTTTTGACTTAGCAGGCAAAATTGTTCAGTAATTTTCTCCTTAACACCAACGGCTCAACCTCAAATTTTTTTCTGCGCCACTATATTTTGCCTAAACTATGATTCTTAACACCGACGGCTCAACGCCTAATTTTCTTTCGCATCACTATTTTTTGCCTGAACTAAGGTTCTTATGAAGTCGAAAAGTTGTTCATGCAGATTTTTTAAAAATATTGCTTCAATATTGGATTGGTTTAAAGTTCATGTTTTAACAGAAATTGAAAACTAGGTGCAACCTTTTGGATTTTTTAACCCAAAGCGGGTGGCAATAAGCACCATCAACATTTTGGGGCATATCTTCGTCGTCTGGTGGAGTATTTCACGCCTACTTAACACTATTGCTGTTCTATATAAGAACATTGTGCAAAAAACATTGTGTTGTCTTAAAAAATGAAAATGATATCCTGGCGGAACATTAAATTTTTATCTTTTCGGCAAAGATCTGTAGAACCTAGATGTTTTTGTTTTAACGATTACTGTCGGTCAAATGAGTTGTATATGAAATTATGTATATATATAATATATATCTATATGCATACATACATGTATATATATACATACATATATATATATAGCGTTATATATATATATATATATGGAATTATGTGTATGTATAATATATCTATATGTGTATACACATGTATATATATACATATATACACATATATATATATATATATATATATATAT